CTACATCAAGCTTTATTTGTAGGGTTAAAAAAAACTCTTTTTTTTTCTTCCACTTTATAATCATATTGCCCTCTTTTTCTACATGCCCACCTTGATTTAGGAGAAGAAATGGTTAAGGTATTAGCATTTGTAAACACCTTACTAATTGGAATATTATAAGATAGCTAGGGCACAAACAACAAGAAGAGAAAATTAAAATGTACTTAGGAACACAATTTAACATCATTTGCATTGTATCCTTTGAAAAGTCAGTTCTCCTAATAAAGTTGTCCAGGACAATTTTTTGGTTTTCTTTCTGTAAAATACTAGTAATTAGACTATGGAAAAGGGGAACATAGAGTTTGAATATATTCTCAGCAATATATATATATATATATATATATATATATACAATATATATAGCTAACTTAAATATTGATGATAGTGAAACTCTACCGATACATCATTATTATTACTATTTTTGAAAGTTCAAATAAACGCGCACACATATAAAATACTGTTCTCTATTGGGGAAGAGGATTATACCATCTGAACTAATGCATGTTGTGAAAGCTAAGCTAATCAGGATAGTATTTTTTTTTTTTCTTGCTATTTTTTCAATTATTTAGGTTTTCCTTTTCTTTTATTTTGTTTTTGGTCCTTTTATCTCTTTGAAAACTAAAGACTAGAAAGATTAGACATGGACCTTATATGGGAATTAACAAGGTAGAAATGTGTTCCTAAAAGGAAGATTTGTCTCTTTAAAGACAGTAAAAATGAACTAGGAGCTACATCTAACACACACACACACACACACATTTATAAATTAATCAGAAAGAAAGAATGCAAATAACCAAAATGTGTTGCACTTTCTGGTTTTAACTGTTAAGTATATATATATAATTTTACATATTAATCTACAATATGAAAAGAGATTACAAATTGAGTTGGTGTTGAATGACCTAGAGCCCCAACAAAGTTGTACCAGAGCAAATGCAGGTTATGATAAGCTCATTGAATATTTAGTATAAAATCATTACCATTTTCCTTTTTCTTTAAAGTAATTGTCCAAAATACCCCCACACGTTCTTTTGAAGGCTGAGAGGAAGCTTGGACACTTGGCACGCTCTCATCGGTCGATCGGCCTTGCAGGTTGGAATGATGATGGGCTATCAAAATAAGACGCGGTTTCAGCTAGCCCCACCCATCTCTTCAATCTCTTTGGGAACTTGGGCTAGCTTACCTACCAATCTCCACCCACTGCGCTTTCCACTTCATTATCATACCTTATATTTGGCTTCAGATTTAACATAAAAATGTTGGAAAGAGTCACATTGCATGGTTAGGGTTTTATCACATTTATGGATAACAAATGAGACGGCATGCATATACTCATTTGCATATATTATTGTTCGTTGTTCAAGATCACTAGCTAGAGACTCCATTAAAGGATTAGCCCATTAAAGGATTAGCTCAGTGTACGCGGCTATTACTATTGGGAGGTCTGAAAATGATTTGACCGATGCAGTCTTACTTCTATATGTAGAGAGACTATTTCCTGTTTCGAGCTCATTACTTTCAGGTTATAATACAACAATATTTTTGTAGTAATTATTTGAGTCTTATGAATTGACACTAACCTTAGTTAGTACACACACACACATATATATAGAGTACACATTACACTTTAAATCAATAAAAGATAATAATAATTAGATCGGTTTATCTTTGTTTTGGTGACTTTCGGTTTTAACTTTGGAATTACTGGTCAAACTTTCGATCAAGAGCGAAGACAACACAGTCGAGAGCTTGAACAAAAGGTATGACCAAGGACTAGTACTAATATTTGGTATTCAATCAAGATGTGAAAAATGACAAAATGAAGGCATAATGAAAGGAGAAAAGTGGAGTGGAGGGATTGTTTCTTTTTTCTTTTTGAAAACAGGAGATTGCAGGGTGGGCTTTGTAGGATTTTTTTCTACTTTGAAAAGTTGGGGTGTTTTGGGAAGATTTGTATATATAGCATGGTTTTGCATAGGGTTCCATGAGGGGGATGGTCTTTTTATGGGTCATTTTAGCAGTTTTGATGCCTGCTTGTGGGACAAACATCACCGACCCTTCACTCCCATGTAGTCTCCACCACTCCTACATTTGAGACTTTTACATGCTTACTTAGATTCCCTCTTCAAAAAGCATATGTTTGTGCATCCAATTCTCTCTCTCTATTTTTTATAATTATATTTATTTATGCATACATATATTATTATTACATATGAGATGACTAGCATATATGAGGAATTTTGTTACTTGAAACCATGACTCTGTTTTGGCGGGAGATTTAGCTATCCAGAAAGAGACGAATGAGACGGCCGCTCACATTGGCATGGCTCCACCTCCACCATTTAATGGTTGGACATTCAAAAACAGGGACTAACCAGATACTCCTATATTATATGCTCCGGATTGTATGGTCTCACACACAACTTAATATAAATAAACGTGTTAATTTTATTCAATTTTTTTATTTACTTGTAGGATTGTAATTGGTTAAGGTCATGTAGATCTGGACAACCAATTAAGTTTTGGTGACTCAAACTTTTCATTCATTCTTTTACTTTTTAAAGCTACTTGTAGGGATGGCAACAGGACGGATTTGGCTAAACCTTACTCTACCCCGTTACAATATTCGTTATATTAATTATGTCCTTACTTTAAGATGATTTTGTAATTGGTATATTATCTCCTTCTCTTATTCGATAGACAAAGTACCGACTCCGTCCCACGTATTCCAATTAATTGTGGGGTGGGGTGGGACGGGGCGAGGCGGGGCGGGTCTGGTTATTCCACTTCTATTATATAGTTTAAAAAAACTAATTTAATATGCTCAAATTGAACTGATAAATATGCTAACCAAAATTTTAAATTATTAAATAGTGAATATTAATATATTAATGAACACTTCCATCAAAGTAACAAAAAGTCTTAAAAATATTAAATATATATTTTATATATAAATAAATTTAAATGTTCATATATATAATCGGGGCGAGGTAGAGCGGGTTCATCACTAAATTTGTTCCCATCCTAAATTCGTTTTTAATTTTTAATTATTTTATCATATCCATTCCAAATTCAATTAAAATGCTATCAAATCTGTCCCGGGCAGGACGGCAACGGGCAGCTTATTGCTTGTCCACGTGGCATGGATACAAGTAAAACCGTTGTGGAATAATACATTACACTTCTATATACGTACTCTTCATGAGTATAGATTTTTATATTAGATACATACTTAATAATAGTTCATGAGTGGGACAGGCGTTGAATGCCAATAAAATTTTGAATCATTTAGGTTTTTATAGGTTAATCATCTCCTCCTATGAAAATGACATAAGAAAGTGACATTTTCCTATATATATATTTGTATCACAATTCAATCTTAGCTCGTGCTAGTTTAATTTTAGATTAATCAAATGATCATCTACAAAGTGAAAAAAATCAATTAAATGATGGGTCCCTTTTGATGAGCCAACTTTTTTGAATCAAAGACGGGGACTTCGTTTGGTGACAGTAGGAGTAGATCAGAAGTATGGATTAGCTTCTATTATTCGACCATTTGGACGGTTTTTCCACAACAAGCCACTAAATATTACTTGTAAGACTTTTTACTAAATCATTCATCTAGAAGAGTGATATATACATAATTTGGTTTTCATTTTTTTTTAGGATAAATTAATATGATCTTTCATGAAGTTTGGATAAATTATATAGATTATTTAAGTATTTATTTGTTTGATCTTTTCTGAGATTTGGTGTGAATGCTCGACCTACTCCTAACATTCTCTTTCGGACAGGTCTATTGACCAAACTATACAAAAATGATAAATTTTTCATTCTCTCGTATAAAATGCAATATAATAAAGGCCAAAGTGAGAAAAACATCCATAATGTTTAAATTTTGGGCAAATATAATTCCTAAGGTTTTTTTTTTTTTTTTTTTGGTATATAATTGCGTTAAGTTTGAAAAAATGATCAAATGATGGCGTGAGATTATCGTTTGATTACAAATTTAATCATGTGCATTGCACAAGACATCTTTAAGAAATAAAATATTTTTTTCTCTTCCAATAATGCCCTTAATATAGTAAGAAGAAGAAGAAGAAAATGAAGGACACTTTAGTCATTTCACATTAATTATTTTTTATCTTTTTTTTAATTCAATATAGAGAGATACTTTAGTTTTTTTAACATTCAGGTCCTCGTTCGTTCAAAATTTAAATGTTAGAGATTTTTCAGAACACATAAGAGATTATACACTCTACATGCATGCCATATGAATATTTTTCGTTCGCAATTCTATAATATATTACTATAGTATAAGGGGGTTATTGTTTGTTACATTCTAAATCACTTTTTCAATAAATTTTTGGAGACCAATTTTTAGAAAAGTTAAAATTATAAATATTAAACAGTCTAGTCCTCTGTAATCTGCCCAAATATGAAGAAAAGTCAGCATAATTTACAATTTTTTTCCTTTTTATGACAGAGTTGTCTTCACCTTTAATGGCAAAAAAATTATATCAAGTAAATACATATTTTGTCCTTCAATCACTCTTATGCTCCTCGAAATTCAAATTTCAATTTTTAAACTAGTATACACAATTTACACACACTAGTGTATATATATACATATTTGGTAAGTCACAATTATTTACATAGCGACATACAAACAAGCATACAGTAGAAGTGGACGAGAGGATAAATATTCCAAACCCGGAGCGTGAAAAATTTCAAATACAGACAGCACAGCAAATCCCTCCCCACAAAATCGTGTGGCGGTCCACTCAATCAGACGGTGGGAAACTGCTCCTCTCACTGGGACCCACACGTCTGATCAAGCGTGACAAATCTCAGCGCGTAGGCGTTCATTCATCACACATGATAACCGGCCAGCGCAAGCATTCAAGTAATATTATTATTGTTGAATGAATATCTGATTGTTGAGTCACGAAATCCATCATGCACCGTTTAAAAACAGTATTTCAAACAAACATCCACACACACACACACACACACACATATACTACTATTATATATATATATATATATGTGTATGATGAATAATTATAAGTATGCGCATTCTCTGCATATATATGGTGGTGTTAGTCTACTCCACCACTATCCATTAATTATACTCTCGTGGATTTCAGAGTTCTTTTTCAAACTTCTCTTCATAACCGCGCTCGAATGCACTTATCCGTTGAATATTCTAATAGAGCTTGGAGAGAGAAACTATACTTTTTAGAGAGAGAACGTTTTGGAGAGGTATTCATCATTGATTTGATATAGCCATTCAAACCGATCATCAATCGATCGTATTCTTGAAGATTATAAAAAGGCTCTTTCAAATACTCAGTAAGCTCAAACTCTCAGATCTACATATACCTATATGTATACACATTCTGAGATTCTTTCTCGAATATCGAAAAGTTTCGAAACATCACTGTTGTAATCGGATCGTATATATATAGTTGTGATAGGTTTGGCGTATATCAAAAGTTGCTATTGAAATGAATGATTTGTTGGCTTTGTATTTGTTGTGTTGTGTGGTTGAATCCTAATTTGGATTCTATGGATGATTAGGTCAAAGCTGATTGAAAAGTTCGAATCCGAGGCAAATTGCAAGCTCGTGTAGGTGTTGTTTGTTCTTCTTCGTGGATTGGTGTTTGGATTGAAGGAATAGTGTTTGTGAAAAGGTTAAAGAGAGGGAAACGAGTACCTTTTGGCTTGCATTTTATATAACACACCAAAAGAGAGACTCACTCTAGCATGCGAGAATTCGATACCCATAAAGGAGAGAAGAACAATGCAGAATATGAAGCACAAGGTTGATGATAACAGTGAAGTTGCGAAGCCGAAAGAGAGGCACATTGTTACATGGTCTAAAGAGGTCTCTTCTTCTTCTTCTTCTTTAGTCCTCTGTTTTGTGTTCTTCATTGTTTGTGCGATTTTGAGGCCTGCTTGAACTAGTTTTGTCTGATATGGTTTTATCCTGAGTTGCAGGAGGATGGTATACTTCGTGAGCAAATTCGCATCAATGGAACTGAAAAGTAATTTTTTTATTTTTACTTATATTTTTTTGTATTTTATGTTCAATTTTGTGGTTTTGAGAAATCAAACTGACGAATTTAGTTGTTATATATGTGTGCAGTTGGGCGATCATTGCTTCGAAATTCAAGGATAAAACAACAAGACAGTGCAGAAGAAGGTTAACTAGACAACATATATGTTTGCATTTTTCCCCTGTTCCATCCATATAATCATTTCTTGCCTTTTTCTTCTTCTTTTTTTTCCCTTTCTTTTTTATGCTTTCTTAGTTTTGTCTGATGTGGATGTAAAAATGTTGCAGATGGTACACTTACTTGAATTCTGATTTCAAGAAAGGGGGATGGTCTCCGGAGGAAGATATGCTTCTGTGCGAGGTAAATCTATGCATTCCACATGTTTATTGCAATTGTCTGAACTTCTGAAAGCTATGTCTCCCTAGTTGTGATATGTTCTTCACACACACACACACACACACACACACATATATATATATATATATATATATATATATATATATATATATATATATATTCGGAAATATGTAATACTATTTTCCATCTAGCATGAGTTGGTGGCCTATTTACATGTTTTGATGGTAAACAGTAAGTTGAGTTTGAAAAAGGGAAAAGTTGCCGGACCAGAAATTAAATTCTCTGTTTTGACTCTCAAATATCCAGCAGAAAGTGTAACCCAAATTCAATTTTGATATGGCATTTCATCAATAATGGATGTAGTTGTCTGATAGCTCAAAATGGTCTGCAGGCTCAAAAAATATTTGGTAACAGATGGACTGAAATAGCAAAGGTGGTTTCAGGCAGGTAAATTGTGTGATTATTCTATTCTTTTGGCCGTAAAAATATTTTCTGTAGTTGTAAATTGATATATTATGTCTTATGTCCACACTCCATACAGAACAGACAATGCTGTTAAAAATCGGTTTTCCACCCTGTGTAAGAAGAGAGCAAAACATGAAGCCTTAGCAAAAGAGAACACTTCATGCATTAATCCTAACAACAAAAGGGTCTTATGTCAAAATGGGTTCAATACAGATGGAATATCAGAAACCGAAGCTCCTCTTAAGAAGATGAGGTACAACTGATATAGCATGTCTCTGATCTTAGAATAAAATGTTACATAATAACACATAGTTGTTGTGTCTAGCAGGATCCATGTCTCTAATCTCACCGAAAAGAGCAACCATGGAGAAATAATACTCAAGGACTGCGCAACAACAAATCAGCAGCTAAGACCTCCATTTGCAGTACTGGTACAGAACTTTCACAATCTGGATGACTTGCCAACTCAGCATCATGTCAGCATTGCCAAAGAGTGCTCAGATGATGGTAATTGAACTAATAAACTTTTGGCAGAAAAACTTAATAAAAATTGCTCATTCGCAACTTGAATATCATATTAGAAGAAAATGTATGAGAACAGTACATCATTATAGTCATTAGCCAGTACTATGTTTGTCATTTTCTCATTTTGAAGCGGCGTGTCTTGACGATTATTTGTCAACCTCAATATTAATTTTTATTACTAGTTTTCCACCTCAATCAAACTAACGTAAATTTAATGTTTTTATTCTATTCTTAATCAAAAGCAGCTAGTAATAACAAGACTAGAACATTTCTCAAAAAGGATGATCCAAGGATATTTGCATTGATGCAACAAGCAGAACTGCTAAGCTCTCTTGCCGCCAAAGTTAATACAGAGAACACACACCAGAGTCTTGAAATTGCATGGAAGGTGAGGAATGTGGTGGTCTACTTGCTTGGTTTCAGCTATCAATATCTAGTTGCACTTGTCTCGGAATGGTCTATTGACAGCAACCATTTATGAAAAATTCTGAAGAACCAAACCTATGCATTTCTTCAATTGTCTACTTCATACTGTCTATAAAGATAGAGGTAATGATCTAGTAAGATGATTTTTGGATTAAAGATCTCAAATCTAGTAGGCCAGCCAAATCACGTCATACATTCAGGAAACATTGATTAAATTATTTCTGTCAATCCCTCAGATGTGCCATGTGTAGTGGTTTGCCAGGCTCAGTCTTCAGGCTCTCATAGTTAGAGATTCCCTTTTTATGTGCAACAATAAGAAAAATAATATAATGCTTTCAGTGCATATTATCTGATATAAATTGAATATGATATTCAGATTCTCCAAGATTTTCTAAATCAAACCAAAGGAAGTGACCTGCTCAGATTCGGACTCTCTGATATGGATTCTCAATTCGAAAATTTTAAATACTTGGTAGAGGACTTAAGGAGCAGCAACGAGGGCAGTCAATCGTCCTGCAGGTAGTAAATTTTTCAACAACAAATATTAGGTTCAAGTAGTTCTTACTTGCAATAAAATACTTGATTGATGTTTATCATAGGCAACCCGCTTTACACGAGTCCCCATGCAGTTCTGAGTACAGTACAGGATCAACTCTCCTGTCCAATACGACAGGTGATAGAACAGAACAAAGTCAACATGAGTTGTGTGCCCTGCATCAGGATATTGGAGTACAATCCATTCACATAGGAGACCAAATTAATTTTGGTGAATGTCCACTGCATCAGGATATAGGAGTCGAGTTACAATCCATTCCCACAGGAGAGAGAGTTGGTGTCAATGAATGTGAAAGCAGAATTCTCTCTGGTGAAACCACAAATCAAGGTAATTATCTCTTATTATATAATAAGGTTTTATTTTTTCATCATGTGTTTGCTAGGATCCTGCAGAAATTTTTTATTTGTTGATCTAATATCTAATCTTCTTGCCTCAGAAATGTTACCTTCTTATGAAAAACCAAAACCATTGACCGAGTTTTTTCTGCCTTCTCACATACAGAATTTAGTTCCCCTCTTCAAGTAACCCCACTGTTCAGATCTTTAGCTGCAGGGATTCCAAGCCCAAAATTTTCAGAAAGCGTAAGTTATCTATCTTATAGTTGATTCTGCCACTGTTATTTTTATGAAGAGTAGTACTAGTAGTAGAACTTTGTCACTGCTGATTACTGAACCAGCAGTAGTAGAAATGATATTTGCAGTGTCACTTTAGTTTTGGTAGTGGTACTTTGTAAGATTATGAGTCTTGTTGCTGATTATCATGCTGCTACTGTAGTACTAGGACTTGTATGTGCTGATTTAAAACCACTACTAGGACTTTTGGGTGCACTGATAGTGAAACCGACTACACTAGCAGCATAGGAAAAATATGGTAGCATTAGTAAAATGAAAAACTTTTAGCCAAATCGTATTACTTTACATTATGCAAACATCAACGTGAAAGAGAAATGTGAGGGTTTCTGAAGGTTTATAGAGATGTGAGGGAGAGACGGGATAAAAATGGGGAGTAGAGAAGTAAAGGATTGTTAAGGCTCAGGGCCTTTGGGAGTGAACAGGGAAGTGGGATTGCTCTAGAGTTTCTATGCTACAATGCTATTAAGCAGGGAACTAAGCTTTGCTTCAGGGCTCAACAATTGGTGCAGGTTTTAGTGGTATTGAATTGTCTTTCAGTTGTTAGCTCTCTGCTATATATACTGGATTATCTCTTATCATCCATGGATGCATATAGTATTTTGTCAAACCACGTTAAATAATGTTTCTTTTCTATTAATTTATTTATTATTATTCTTTGTTGATGTGATCTCCTTAGGAATACACTTCCTGGCATAAGTATAACAAGTGATAACAGAGCTCAGTATATAACAAGTAGTATCAGAGTCTAAGGTTAGCCTTGGGGACTTTAGTCATTTCTATCTGGAAAAACCATTATGAGATTTAGAATACCCGAGTCTCAACAACTACTACCAGAGTTTAGTTATAGATGGAGTTAATGTTTGGTCTTGCTGATTAGAAAATTGTTATGAACTACAAAGCAGAAATAATACGAAACGCAACTGTAGGAAAATCAATAATTGGATTTATGGAATTTATTTGTAGTCCCATAAACTTTAACTCACACAATCTAACCCATAGCCAGAATTTAATCCCTTGCTAGTGGGAAAGGATTAGAATTACATTTTCTTTTCGTAATTACAATTAGAATTGCTCAACTAGGATAAATTATTGTATGAGTAAAGTGGTTGAACTTGACTAAGAAGTTTATATATTGTTGGAGTGTACCTTGATGAAGAGTTATGAAAATCTTTAAAATAAAATTGTTTACTAGTTTATGTTAATTTGGGACCAAGTGCAGGTAGTCAAAAAAAGGTGTTTGTTTCTGATCAGTAATTTGAATTGCTCTTGTTGCAGTGTAAACTTCTAGATCTTGTTATTTCCAGGAAATGTTTCCTTGATGCTCTGTTGGCTCAAAAGATTGTAATAAAAAAAAATAATAAAAAATAAAAAAAAAAACTTCTGTTCAATAATTTTTTAGATCTTGTAATGCACTTATATGTACAACTGACCTAATAACAGATAACTAACTAGTAACAGTCTCAAAATATAAATATTCTTATAAGGAACCAATTAGGCCCTATGGTTATATATATATATATATATTTATTTATTAACCATGAGCATGCCCTCTCAGCCATTAGATTGCAATAAGCATCTCAATCCAATGGTTAAGAGGCTGCACTCAGGGAGAGCACCCCCACGATAAATTTTTCATCGTGTATAGACATCCTTGTATGTTGAAGTTATAAGAAAAATAATGTGTTATAAAAATAAGTATTCACACCTATATATTTCGCTGCCGAATAACTTTTTTCACGTCAAGAGGAATTATTTATCCTTTGACATTATGGACCAATGAGATCCATGGGATGAGTGTGCAGTTATACTGAAGTTTAAGGCAACAACAGGTCCTGTAAATAAATAGTATGCTAAATTGTTTTCTTTTAAGATATAGAAGTCCTTTTTTTAGTCCCCAAAATTAATTTCTTTCTCCTCCTATTTTGCTTTTCTTGTTTTGCACATCTCTCACACCCTCCCATTCTTCATATGATGTCATTTTCAACTTTTAGGAGTAGCTCTTGCCTTCTATGTTTAGTGCAACTGGAATAAAAAATAATAAAAAAGAAGCTTTTAAATTTGAGTATATTAGGGGTACTTTATACAGATAAATTTCTTTTTGCTGTGGTTTTGCTTCTGTTCGTATCCCTAGTCAATATGTTTGGTCTATCTAATTTTAGCATGATTACATATCTAACTTTGTCATTAGTATTTGAAGAAGAGAGTACTTTCATTGTGTTTTCCAATTAGGAAGTACTCGTGTTAGAGCTGAGGACATGGGTCAAATGAGGTGCAGGGTTCAAGTATCGGATGGGACATGGGCTTGTATACTTCTTATAGAAAAGAAAAACTAAAAGGCTGAGATATCACTTTTTAATTCACAACTAAAAGGTGGTGATTTGTTTTAAGCAGTAGCCTGGTTGTGGTCTAGCTCTATGCTTTTATTAAGTTGCAGCTTAATAATGTAAAATCAAATTAAGTTGCATTTTTAAGTTTTAACACCAACCAAAAAATAAAATAAAAAAACATGTTACTTAATGTGTTTGCTGTTTAAATAGTTTTTCAGTTCGTGAATTGTATCTTTAATTCATATTTACTTTCTTAATTTTTGATATTTTTTGGATGTTAAATCTTGATACAAGACTGACTAATTTTTTGATGCATCCTTCAGGAAAGGCACTTTCTACTGAAAACACTTGGAATGGAGTCCCCGTCTTCAAATCCAACCACTAATCGTTCCGATCCTCCACCCTGCAAAAGGGCCCTACTCCATAGTCTATGACCAACCTCACTGATCCATCTCACATACATTCTTGTGGGGTTTACAAGCATTATAATCACTCATCTCTAAGTTTTCAACATATGTAGAGTTGTTACGTTCTCTTCCCGTGTTCATTTTTTTTTGAATCGCAGTCATCCGACCTAGAGTTTTTACAAAAAAAGGCCTACTTAGATCTGCATTTCAATCTAGAATGTTATGGTGCATTCTAGTATTCCCGACAGATCTAACAATATGTTCTGCATTCCTTTTTAGTGTTAGCAGAACATACACTCACTTTAATTGTCAGTGTGTTTTGTTAAAGTGTGCCATTCTTTTTTATGTCTTCGTATGGGATCGGGATCCAGGTTATTCCTTCCCCATTACAGTTTTTGGTCTTGATTTCTATATGTACAGAACTTGGAGTAGTACAATTCCATACCCTTTCAGAGTGCAATTTTACATCGGCATCTCGCCTATATTACCAGTGCAGAGAAAGAAAGAAAAAAAAAAAAAAAAAGAAAAAAAAAAGGGAGGAGGATCAACCAGTTAAATTGGACTCCTTTTGTTTGTTTTTTAGGTGTGCAGAAGGTATAGGATTAATTATTACTGGTGTTGGTTTAGTTCTTTATGTAATATATATCTTACAATGTTTTGAGTGGAGAATATGATATATGGTGTTTCGTGTGCATACATTTGTTCTTCTATGTCTGCTTTCTTAATTGTCTGAGAATTGAGATGCATGTATAACTAATATAGAGAGAATTTAAGCAGAAATAACGTAAGCACAGAGAAAAGCATAAAATGGAGTAAGAGAAGTTTTACTTACATCAGATGAAATTTGACATGCTTCTGTCTCACTGTCTCTCAGAAATCTCATGGGAGGTGTGTGTGTGTGCGTGTGTGTGTGTGTGTGTGTGTGTGAATTTCTAATGGAGGGCTGTGCTGTGGGGAAGAAGGGGGTTCTGAGACTCTGAGGAATGGGTTGGTATTTAAGTTGGTCAATGGATGATGGTGGAAGAGAAGGTGTGATTATGATGGCCAAAGCAAAAGCAATTGGTAAAAGGTTGGAGGGAAGCTGTACAAAATAAAGTTCACATAATCACTTTTCTCTCTCCATTTTGCCATGTATGAAAAAGACCTATTTTGACATTCCACTGACACAAAAGAATGGGTTTGACCCTTGGGATAAAACTGGTAATTGGATTTCTTCTTGGTGTCCCGGCCATGGCCCAACCAGTTGGAAACCTAAAATCATGAACAACTTTAATAAAGGGGCAAGGATTACCACCATATCTGTGATCAACTACAGCATGCCATCAAATAAAAATCACTATGGTTATTATTTATATTTTATATTATTACAGAATTGATCTCTTTCGCGTCTTTTCTGCAAGAAATTTTCTCCACATCAAATATTGCACGTATGCTCAACCTGGATCCCTCTAGTGCACCAGTACTTCCACCGTGAAGGGTTGTGATTAATCCCGTAGCGAAACTCCCCACCTACTATTGAATGCCGAAATTGGGAATATCACAAATGGGAAACGGTAGACTAACCACAAAACTATCACCGTCCATAAATCTTCTGATCAGACTTAGCTGAATCATTCAAAGATTAGGAGACTGTTATCTAAATGCATTTCCATACTTTTTCTTCCGTCCAAATCAATACCTTTCAATTTCTTAGGTGGATATATTGTTAAAATAGTGGAAAAAACGATCCAAGCCCTCCTCCTCGGCGGCTGGACGATCCTCGCACTAGGGCTTTTCCTTGAGCCTTTGTGGTAAACAATTACCACGTTGATACTATGATGTTGTTGGGCCAATGACTTGCTTGTCTGGGTCATGGCCTTTTCTTATGTTTTTCTGGCCCATTTACTTTGGCCCATTTCTTATGTTTGTTTGTCTGGGTGATGGCCTTTTCTTATATACAACTTGTTTAACACCCCCCACCCAAAAAAAAAAAAAAAGACTGGAGTTCTGCCATTTAGAAGCTGTCCAAATTTGCTTTTAACCTCACCTATGTTCTTAAAATTCATAATAAATATCGAAATTATCCTTAAAAACTTTTCTCCTCTTCGTCCTCAATAAGGTTCCTTTGGAACGTTTTTTTTTTTTTTTTTGTTTTTTTTGTTTTTTTGTTTCATTGTTTCAGTCATCTAAAAAACCAATTGAAATTTATAAACATTTGCGGTCTCTTTTTTCTCATATTTCTTGTACAATTGAGCAATGATAGATCAGAAGTAAAGAACGCACTTGGGATTGCAAAATATATATATATAATGTTGGCCAAACCTCGTCATTTTGAATGTAAATTGCAGCATAGTATACTCTTATTGATATTAAGTAGATCTTAATACTGAACGAAGACATTATTAATCAAACCATCCATAATTTCTATTGTATGGCCACCCCACCCCTCAATTTATATCATTTGATGTCAACTTTTTATACATTCGCTTTTATTCATGCACTTAAATAACTCATCTTTTACCATGTTTATTGTTTTCCCTTAATTGAATATTCAATAATTGTGAAGAACTATTTATTAGCATATATATTCATTTCAAGTTCAAATTATTTCTGTTAATTCTCATGCTTTTACCTTGCTACAATAAATGGATAGGCTATTTAAACTTCTACTGAAAATTCGCACTCTCAGTCCCCAAGTATAATAATACTCTTCAAGATTTTTTCAGCTCCAGTACTTACAAAGCCACACTTAAATATTATAAAAGTACTATTTATACCATATGTCGGCCATTTCCAGTTGCAACGGTTGTCGTAGTTGATCACAATAAAAGAGTGAAAGTTTAGAAATGGAAGGGTGATATGCAGAGAATGGTGCAATACACGTAATTTTATCAAAGGAAATCATTATCACTTTCATCTCCGCCACCATTTTCATTGCCATCTACAGTAACACCACCATATCTTTCTAAAAAATTATAGAAGAATATTATATTGTTAATTTATTTTATTTGTCACTAAGAGGAGTATTTTGGATAATTTAATTTAAATTCATTCCATTCTAAATTTTAAATTGGTCCAAACAAATATTAAAATGGTTATTATCATTCTATTCCATTCTCATTCTCATTCTCACTTGTATTTCATTTCATTCATGCACACCAACCGAAGCATAGGAGTAAAAAAATTCAGAGTAGATCCGTTTACCAATTCTTAGACTCTATTTCAACACCAAATCAGTAAAAGAAGTAATAAATTTCATCAAAGGGAACTATTTTTCATAAATCATTTTCATGTAACCTTCATTAAATTTTGCTCCACAATTTTTTAAATTTGCTTATATATATATTATGAATTTGCTACACCATCATAATCCAGAAAATATTGAGAAATGCCACATGATGTACCATGTCCATTTGATCAAATTTAAAATTAAATTATTAGATAATAGACAAAGATTGAGATATGCCAAATGATGTACATCTGCCAAGAAGAAGTCTAGCCCATGCAACACGTTTGGAGACTTCTTGTACCGTCTGTCTATTCAAACTGGAAAAGATTAATCCATATCTATTGCATCACTTCTGGTGCACAAATATGTATTCATAAAATATCTTGAATTTGTAATCTTCATTAATTTTGAAAAATAGTTGAAGATAGATATTACATTTTAAATTACTGAAAGTCAAACGGCCTTTTTTGTATTCTATGTGGAAAAAATAGTTCTATGCTATTAAATTCTACCAAGAAAAAGTCTAGCCCATGCAATACGTTTGGAGACTTCTTCTACCGTCTGTCTATTTAAAGTGGAAAAGATTAATCCATATCTATTGTATCACTTCTAGTGCACAAATATGTATTCATAAAATATCTTGAATTTGTAATCTTCATTAATTTTGAAAAATAGTTGAAGATAGATATTACATTGTAAATTACTAAAAGTCAAGCTGTCTTTTTTGTATTCTACGTGGAAAAAATAGTTCTATGCTATTAAATTCTATTGATTTTTATTCTATGATATATATATATATATATATATATATATATATATATATATATATATATATTGTAAATTACTAAAAGTCAAGCTGCCTTTTTTGTATTCTACGTGGAAAAAATAGTTCTATGCTATTAAATTCTATTGATTTTTATTCTATGATATATATATATATATATATAAAAGATGGGACACTTTTGGATAAGTTTTATATTCTACATGGAAAATACAGTTCTATGCTATTAAATTCTATTGGCTTATTTGACAACTTTTAATGACTGGGCTGTATTGTACTCCTTGACCAATTTGTTATCACATATATATATATATATATATATATATATATATATATATATATAGAGTTAAGGGTTTAAATTATAAAACCTTTAATTTTTAAAAGTGTCATATAATTTCTTGTATTAACAAATAATTTTCATAACTACCAAAAATAATCATATTGTTTCCATTTCATGACGGAATTGTTAATTTCATGCAGATTAACAAAAATACCTGTTGATAGTATAATATTATTTAAAAAAATTGATTATGGAATTTTGAAATGTCAAATATGTCATTCGTATTAACTAAGAAAAATATACACACAATACTAAATTTAAAATCATTGTCACACAAAACCAAGAATACTCGCATATATTTTTCTCTTTGACGTGCAGAGGGGTTCAATAATTATAATCCCTAACGTTCACATTTTTACCTTCAGCTAGTTAATTCTTCATCTCATGAACATCATCTAATTTTGCAGTTCGATGCAATACATCACCCAAATGCAAAATATTGTGTAAATGAGGAAAGAAAAAAATAAAGAGAATGTACAAGAAATCAAACTAACAATTATATATAGTGAAATGATGTGAAAGCTGCATTTGTTATTAACTCAACATCACAGTGCTAGAGTAACAAATTGCTAATGCTACAATAAGGTAAATTATACTTGACCTGTTCTCCACTACACTGGTGTTGAATAAAAATGAGTGACATTATGATTTTTCGTTTAGTGGTGATATATACGATTTTTCGTTTCGGTTAGTTAATGCTACAAAAGCTTCAACTTGACTACTTATTTTGAAGAATGAGGGAGTAAACATCGTGCCTAGGAATCAAATTGTAGTCTATTTGTACAATTTATCACGGAGTTTCAGAAATTAATGTTGCTAAAACCATTTCAATATCGTTCTGCAATTAACTCATGTTTCAGTAATTACAATGCAATTAACTCATGCCCCCCCCCCCCCCCCCTCTCACACACAAACACACACAAAAGAATAAAAAGAAAAGAGAGGAGAAAGCTCTTTAAGCACCAATGTTTTCTAATGCAAATTACAATGATCCTTCATGTGTAACTAACAAATAGCTCCATGAGTTACTGCAATGTGAAGAGGTGTTTGATTGACCATTGAATTCAGATCGATTTTACCCAACCTTCATTAAATACAATCTCCCCATCTCTGCTGTTTAGTGCAGGAATTGGGTCTTGAATTTTACAATGATTTACAATGAGTGCCACGTGGTCCTTTTTGCCTATTATTATATTACAATGATTTATAAATAAATAAAAAAAAATAAAAAAAAATTTAATTACATAATACAAGTTGCCCCTTCCCCACCCACCCAAAAAGAAAAATCAAAATGAGTGGATACAATAAACTTGATTTTTCAAAGTGCATCTTTAGTCATTAAGGGATTAAAAAGCATCATATTCATATATCATTTTAAAAGTTAGCACATGACAAATATGTGTAACCAAGTTTTTAGATATTTTTAACAAGTAATGAAGGTTTAGATATTTTTCTTAGAATATGAGGTTATAGGACTGATTTTGGTTAGTATATGAGATGTTTTATAATTTTAACTAAGGAAATTAATTTTGTCATTTCACATGTTAGTTAACAGTTCCATCCATCACTGAATGGGGGTAGAATGATTATTTTTGTTAGTTCTGGAGGCTATTTGTTAGTATGAGGAAGTTGTGACATTTTGAAGTAGTATAGAGGGGTTTTATAATTTTAACGAATTTAACCCCTCTTTTAATCCATAATGTATATTGTCTTGTTTAATTTATTTTTAATATTGTCATTGGGAAAAAATAAAAATAAAATATTAGTACATCTTTTGAATAGCGAAAGCCTATTATTGTGGCACATTCGATAGCTAAAATTTGGAGAGTTTAAAATGCTGACGTGCAGGGATGGATTCAAAAATTGTATAAGGAAAGACAATAATAAGAATTTTTTTTTTTTTTTTTTTTTTAATAATTTCAGTGAGGACAATAGTAGGATTTTATAGGTATGTAATTCAGAATGAGAAAATTAGCAAGGGTATAATAAAAAAGAAAATATCCCCACTAATGTATATATGAGTAGGTCTTAATTGATGTAACTTTTAAAAATGTTAACACACAAGTTAACATGACAAATTTGGAGGCTTAAATTAAAAAAACACTAATAGAGATGCTTTTTGAAATTTCAAGCCTCTTCAATATTTTTATTTATTTATTTAGAGACACAAATTAAGGTCTTCTCCAATAACTAGAGAGAGATAAAAAAGAAACATCACAAAGATAAATGTCCTTTTATGAGACGACTCTGAGTCCATGTGCAAGTAATAATAATAATAAAATTAGCCCTACAAATATTCAAAAACATATATTAATAATAATAGAGAATTTTAAAAAATTAAAAATAAAAGAGGAAAGACTTTATATATTATTATATTACATTGATTTTGCAATATCTCAAAATTAGAGGAGTAATGTTTGTTTTGCCATGGAGGGAGTAACATTTTACCCAATCAATTTGCAAGGGCTCTTTCGTCAAACATATAATAGCATGTTCATTTAACAAAGAATGGTTAATTTTGTATACATGGTCCCTACATTACTATAAACCATTTTGAATTTTTGTTTGAGCTAGTGTTGGAGGCTTGCAGTAAAAGAGTTGGTATAAGCTTCTGCATCCTACAACACCTACTTTATTGGTCTATAAGAACCACCAGTAGTACTGCAAGCTTGGAGTCATAGAAAGTAGTGTAAGGTGAGAGAGAACCATTATATACTAGTTTATATGGAGATGGTTCGGTTGTGGTGGTGGGTTTGGATTTTGTTTCACATCCATGTTAATGGTTGCTTAGAGTCAGAGAGGATGGGTCTCTTGCAAATCAAAGCCTCCATCAACTATCCAAATGGAACTTCTCTGCCATCTTGGGAATCAAATGATAAACACAGCAACTGTTGTGATTGGAAAAGCGTTGAGTGCAACAATGGGAGAGTCATCCAACTTTTACTCAATGCCACATATAATTGGGATCACCGGTATGACATAACCGGCTGGTATATGAATTTCTCATTGTTTCTTCCTTTTAAAGAACTCGTATATCTAGACTTGTCAAGAATTCGTCTAGCCGGTTGGGTTAAGCATGAAGGTTAGCGGTTAACGTTATTTATTTATTTTTGTTGATATACACTCTTTTTTTATTTTTTGGAAATTTTCTAATTGTGAGTGATTTTGAAATTTCCAATATAATTTGCAGGTTTTGAAAGATTATCTGAGTTAAGAAAGTTAGAGGTGCTTATATTGGATTGGAATTCATTTAATAATAGCATCTTACAATCTCTTGGTGCACTTTCATCACTCAAAACTCTATCTCTAGCCAGCAACAATTTTTATGGATCAATCGAAGGTGATTAATTCAAAAAGGAAATACCTTTTTCAAGTCGATAAAAGAAGCATATCTTCTTGTTCTCAATATTCCTTGGTACTATAATTTTTCATACATACTTTATAAATTTGGAATAAACCTACATGTTATTTAACTGCAATATAAATTCAACAAAAAAATTACAAACACATATTAGTCCTGAGCAATTTTATCCTCATAGTAGTGTCAGAAAAAGAAAAAAAAAAAAAAAAATTGTAGGTTTTGCCTCTAAATTACTATGAATGGTTTGAAGTGTATATATAAATTCTGATATAAGTTTTTTTCGTGTCATTGTAGCTTTTCTTAACATGAGCAATTTGGTTGATCTAATTTTCATAGACCATCGTACTCACTTGCAAAGTTGAGATGCAATTACCATTAAGCAAGCTGAAAATCATGCGGTTGGGTCGAACTATAAACTTTAATTATTTGTACAAAATATTAATCATAGCATAAATCTCAAAATCTTAGAACTTCATTAATTTCACATATTCATAATGTATAAATAAATAGTTAAATACAAATATTTTGATCCATAATAACAAACTGCGTAAAGATCCAGCCAAACGTCAAGATCTTTCTTGTGAAAAGTATTCGACTAATTGGCCAGTTGGGTTGAACATGGAGGTTAGTTGTTTGCTAAGTTTATATATTTTGAAGTTTTTTTTTTTTATTATTATTTTTTTATTTTTGTTGATATACACACTTTTTTTTTTTTTTTTGAAAATTTTGAAATTGTGAGTAACTTTGAAATTTCCAATATAATTTGCAGGTTTTGAAAGATTATCTGAGTTAAGGAAGTTAGAGGTGCTTATATTGGATTTGAATTTATTCGATAATAGCATCCTACCATCTCTTGGTGCAATTTCATCACTCAAAACTCTATCTTTAGCCTTCAACAAGTTGAATGGATCAATTGACACCCAAGGTGATTAAATTCAAAAATGAAATACCTTTTTTAGGTCGACAAAAGAAGTATATCTAATACTATCATTTTTCATACATACTTTATAAATTTGGAGGAAAGCCACATGTTATTTAACTGCAATTTAAATTCAACAAAAAAAAAAAATTCAAATACATATTAGTCCTGAGAAATTTTATCCTCATATTAGTGTAAGAAGAAAAAATTGGCGTCTGGACCCAAGCTCACCTGGGAGCAAATTGTTTTCAAAAACCTAAAACTATGCATGGTTTGATGTATATATTCTCATATCACTTTTTTTTTTGGTGTCACTGTAGCTTTTCTTAACATGAGCAATTTGGTGGAGCTAGACTTGAGTGGCAACCGGATAAATAGTTTTACGGGAAATGAAGGTACAAAATGAGATAAAAGCATTTTGGTTGATCTAATTTTCATAGACCATCGTTCTCATTTGCAAAGTTGCGATGCAATTACCGTTAAGCAAGCTGAAAATCATGCGGTTGGGTCGAATTATTTGTACAAAATATTAATCATAGCATGAAATCTCAAAATCTTACTTCATTAATTTCACTTATTCAAATTGCATAAATAAATAGTTAAATACAAATATTTTGATCCATGATAACAAACTGCGTAAAGATCCAGCCAAACGTCAAGATCTTTCTTGTGAAAAGTATTCGACTAGCTGGCCGGTTGGGTTGAACATGGAGGTTAGCTGTTTGCTAAGTTTATAAATTTTCACCTTTTTTTATTTATTTTTGTTGATATATACACATTTTTTTTTTTTTTTTTTTTTGAAAATTTTGAAATTGTGAGCAACTTTAAAATTTCCAATATAATTTGCAGGTTTTGGAAGATTATCTGAGTTAAAGAAGTTAGAGGTGCTTATATTGGATACAAATTTATTCAATAACAGCATCCTACCATCTCTTGGTGCAATTTCATCACTCAAAACTCTATCTCTAGCCTCCAACAAGTTGAATGGATCAATTGACACCCAAGGTGATTAAATTCAAAAAAAAAAAAAAAATTTTGATAAGTAAAAATAACGAACTGTTTAATTTTTTAATTAAATTCAAAAATGAAATACCTTTTTCAGGTCGACAAAAGAAGTATATCTAATATTATCATTTTTCATACATACTTTATAAATTTGGAGGAAAGCTACATGTTATTTAACTACAATTTAAATTCAACAAAAAAAAATTCAAATACATATTAGTCCTGAGAAATTTTATCCTCATATTAGTGTAAGAAGAAAAAATTGGTGTCCGAACCCAAGCTCACCTGGGAGCAAATTGTTTTCAAAAACCTGAAAGTATGAATGGTTTGAGGTATATATTCTCATTTCAGTTTTTTTTTTTTTTTCGGTGTCATTGTAGCTTTTCTTAACATGAGCAATTTGGTGGAGCTGGACTTGAGTGGCAACTGGATGAATAGTTTTACGGGAAATGAAGGTACAAAATGAGATAAATGCATTTTGGTTGATTTAATTTTGATTATTCGTTTTCATACTAATCAGGCTTGAAGAGCTTAAGCAAGCTGAAAATCATGCGGTTGGGGTCCAACAGTTTTAAAAATGCCAGCATTCTACAATCATTGGGTGCTCTTTCCTCACTAAGGGAGTTAGATCTCCGGGACAGTTATGAATTGCTAGTATTGGTTACAGAAAAAGGTAAGACATAATGGAGATGCCTCTCAACTCAATTTGAATTGGCATTTTGTTCAATATTGGAATTAAAAACATATTCAGTTATATATATTATTTATCATTTTGGTAAAATGAGTAGAAAATGTTTTGATTGTACCAGATATCCATTTTTTCCTTTTTCCTTTTTCCTTCAGTAATGTGGGTCCTGATATTCATCTTCACCTTTGCAACTTTCATGTAGTTTTCTTGTTATTTTCTTAATACTCTTTATAGGGTTGGACGGGTTGAACAATTTAAAAATGTCTCAAGCTCACTTTAAATTGGCATTACTTCACTTTCTACACTTTCTAGAAAATGTATTTAGTTATATCTATATATATATATATATTATATGTACTTACCCTTTTGCTAAAAATGAGCACAGATCATGTATTACTTCATCCGAATCATCCTAATTTTGTAGCTTTCAATGACTCGATGTCGAATTTTCTTGCCATCATAATCTTATTATCTTTGTAGATACTGTAATAATTTTATTTTCAACTGTTGTTATTAGATTTGGAGGGGTTAGCCAACTTGGAGGAGTTGTATTTGGATCGTTGCTCTATTGACGTCAGCTTTTTTCATAATGCTGGAGTGTTAACTTCTCTTAGAGTGTTGTCAATGCCAGACATTGAATTCAACGGCAGACTACCGAACCAAGGTTTATATGCTTTATACTATATTTAATTTTTTGGATTACTAATCATGAAAAAAAATTCAATTTCATAATATTGTTTCGATAAACAAAAAATTGATTTGGATGTAGACGTATATAATAAAAATCTAATTCAACTTAACATTGGGTTTTTCAGGTTGGTGTGAGCTTTATAATCTTGAAGAGTTGGATCTGAGTGGGAATGAATTAAATGGGATACTTCCTTGGTGCATGAGGAATTTGACATCACTCCGCTTTTTGGAACTCTCATACAATCATTTCACTGGAAGTATTGCCGCCTCCCCCCTTACCAGTCTCACATCACTCCAATATCTTTCAATTTCACACAATGATTTCGTGATCCCAATCTCGTTTTTCGCATTTTATAACCATTCAAAGCTAAAGCTCATTTCAGGTGATCACAACAGATTGAGTGACCACCCAATTTCAATAATTCCAAGGTTCCAACTGAAGGTTTTCAGTTTGTCAAACTGCAATGCCAACCAGTTGTTGAGTGAAGGGCTTTTCCATTTTCTCTATCATCAACATGACCTCATAGTGGTTGATCTATCACATAACAATCTGACTGATAGTGGTGGGACATTATTTTTTCTCTCTTGGTTGTTGGCAAACAATACACAATTGGTTTATCTTAATCTAAGAAATAACTCCTTCTCAGGGCCTTTCCCATTATTGACTTCTTCTCCTTACAACATCACAAAGTGGATTGATATCTCTAACAATCATATTCATGGTCAACTGCCAACAAATATAAGTTCCATATTTCCCAGTTTAAATTTTTTAAACTTGTCTCAGAATGAATTGGAAGGTAGGATTCCGGCATCATTAGGTGATCTGCATTCTTTATCCTATTTAGACTTGTCTAACAATCATTTGTCAGGACAAATACCTCAACATTTTGCAATTGGTTGCTTCTCCATATATTTCCTCAAACTATCCAATAATACTTTGGATGGTCGGATGCTTCCTGATCTTGTGACCCTAACCAGCTTGGAGTATTTATATTTGGACAATAACCGTTTTGAAGGAAAGATTCCAGATAGCTTGTCTACCGCATCTGGTTTGACGGCATTAGACATTAGCAATAACAGCATGTCAGGTCATCTTCCAATATGGATTGGGAATATGCGTTACATAGAAGTACTTATCATGTCCAAAAATCATTTTGAAGGTCCAATTCCAGCTGAGTTCTGCAAACTTGATTGGCTTTCTGTTTTAGACCTTTCCAACAATAATCTGTCCGGATCTATACCATCTTGCTTCAACTCATCAGAAATAGAGCATGTACATCTGAATCACAACATGCTAAGTGGCCCATTCCCACATGCATTTTACAACTGTTCTTCTCTGGTGACGTTAGATCTAAGACAGAATAACCTAAGTGGTAAGATTCCGAGCTGGATTGGCAACCTTTCCTCATTGAGCATTCTTCTCCTCAAATCTAATAGTTTCGAGGGAAAACTTCCTCACCAATTGTGCAGCTTGAAAGGGTTAACTATATTGGATCTTTCTCAAAACAATCTTTCCGGTTCCATACCTCATTGCTTTGGTTCCATACCTTTCAAGCCAATGACTAGAAAATCCTATAAACCACGTCTGGCTTTGGTTGTGGATTGGAGAACTAATTTTCTGTCTTACGTGGTGATGGAGACAATGTTATCTAAGAACTATGATGTTTTTCAGAGTGGGCAATATTTCCCACTAATGGTTGCGACACAAGTAGTGGAGTTCACCACAAAGAGTAGATTGTATGCATACTGCGGTAATATACTGGACTACATGTCAGGAGTCGATCTCTCTTGCAACCTCTTAACAGGAGAAATCCCATCTGCTATTGGAAATCTAAGTGAGATCCATGCACTAAACTTGTCGCATAACAATCTCATTGGTTCAATCCCAACAACTTTCTCAATGTTAAAACAAGTGGAGAGTTTGGATCTTTCCTACAACAAATTGAGTGGAACAATTCCCTCTCAACTCATTGAGTTGAACTATTTGGCAGTCTTCAGTGTGTCACACAACAATTTATCAGGTACGACTCCGGAATGGAAAGCTCAGTTTGGGACCTTTGAAGAAAGCAGTTATGAGGGAAATCCTCTTCTTTGTGGACCTCCATTACGTAACAGTTGCAATAAAACTGGATCTCCGTTGACATTGCCTCATCACTCTTTAGAAGAGGAAGGTTTTATGGATATGGAGGTTTTCTATGTGACTTTTATGGTCTCTTTCATAATTGCGTTCTTGGGAGTTGTTGCAGTTTTGTGCATAAATCCTTATTGGAGACGAGCATGGTTTCGTATCGTCGAAGCTTATGGGACCTCTTGCTATTATTTTGTTCTTGACTGCTTTCTCAAGGCGTTCATCAGAAGAGGTGTGTAGACCTCGCATGTATCTTCATGGCTATGTGTGTGTACATATATATAGGCCTATTTAAGGATTGTCTGTTTTTGTAATGTACAATGATGATTATCTAAATGGATACCACACTTTTTCTTCTGTCCAGATCACTCAATCTGAATCGTCCACTTACCTTTTCATCTGTGAGTACAAATACGGATACCTTCTTGTTTTTTTTCCTCATATTTCTTATACACTGGAGCAATGGTAGATGCAAAACTGCGTCATTCTGAGTGTTGATTGCTGCATAATGTATCAATATTAATACATCTCTGTTAATTCACATGCTTTTTGCCAATCCACAATAAATTGATAGGCTAGGTATCTGTTTAAACACCACGTATACCCAAAATATCCGTATTCTTAAACTGACATGGTTTGGTTATAAAAGCTTAAACAGACAAAAGAAACTTCTAAAATATTAAATCATTTCCTTTCTTCTTTTTGAAGAGAGGCTGAATATGAAAAGATTGATAAGTCAATGAATTCTTGTCAATGATTAATATTTTAAAAATTGATGATCCGCTTAGAAAAGATAATATGTTTTTTACATTGCAGTCTCAAAAAAATGCTAAACATTAACGACAACGTTTTTATATTTCTCAGGTTTGAAGAGTTTAAGCAAGCTAAAAAATCTGCAGCTTCAGTTTTAACAGCTTTAAAAATGTCAGCATTCTACAAACATTGAGTGCTCTACCATCACTAAAGGAATTACATCTCCAACAAAAGATATAACTGACATGCCCAACAAAGATCCTATGAATTCAATTTAAATTTCCATTCATTCAATTAAGGAATCCAACGTATATTTGGTTATCAATATTATTTACTTTTTCACCAAAATGAGCAGCAAATGTTCTCATTGTTATTCCTTGAGCAACCAAACAATAATCACAGATTGTTTGACTGCAATGCAATAAGTTATTTGACAAAGGACTAATGAATATGGAACCTTTTTTTTTTTTGGGTTTGTTGTTTAGGGTGTGCAAGTAAAGAATAAGTTAAACTGTGAGCAAGAAAAGATGTCCAAACCATTTAAAGTGTGTAAGAGCAAACAAAGTCTAAGCTCAAATAAAAAGTACAACTAAACTATAAAATCTATAATTGAGTATAAACAATTAGGTGACCTAAAACTTGTATGTAATAGCAGTACAACATCTCAATATCATACATGTGTGGCTGTTCCTTTCCTTCCATACAGTCTCCAACTTCTTCTGGAACATCTGATTACACAAGCCCCTTGCCAACAAGAAGTAAATCAACAACCAAGAATAGGATAATTTCAAAGCTATTCAAAATGAAAGAACAGTTACAACTTAAATATCGAATTAGCACAAAGTGATTCAACAGATAGTTGACAATCTCCTTTGCTTCGTTACACATACAACGCCAATTCAGATGAATATTCTTCCCGTGATTCTGGTCAGCAATAGTCAGTATCGCCCACAAGGCTGCAGCTTGATTGAGGTAAAGAAAAAACGTAGGGAAGCACTTTGACACGCTTAAAGCATTTCAAGGAAATTCACTCTCCATCCCCAGCACAAATCCTTATAAAATGGTCTCGCAAAAATTTTCACTATTGTCAATCTGTTACCCACATAGAGGCACCATGCAAAATCTTAACGGAAGCATCCACTAACTCGGGCCTACTTAATTTTGAGCTCACACAACTTCACTTTTAGAGAACCTGAAATAATCTGGTTCCAATACTTCCATACCAGAGGCTATACTAAAAAAGACCAAGAACACCTCTCAAGGAAACATCCCCACACCAAGCATCATGTGAGATTACGCCCTATGACCATTTTCTGCCACAAAGTTGGCATATAGAATTTCCCGATCAACTAAATTGCCAAAACTAACTATGATCAACAATGTCAACATCCACAAACGGCAATGAAGAAGATAGCGAGTTCATTATAGGAAACATCCTATATCACTTCATGATGACTTGCATAACCATGCTGTTCAGAATTTCTGCTATTTTGTACATAAATCCACATTGGCAACACTCATGATTTAATCTCATAGAGGTGCACTAGACATGTAACTGTTAGAACTTTCTGCTTAAAGCCTAAAACTGCTATTCAGTTGAAACATGTAGCCATTTTTTAATATGTTTACTGGTGAAGTATATCAGCCTCTTTTCTTCAGAGCCACCCATCAAGATCACTTTTGCATTCAACGGTTTTTTATTTCATTAGTCACCTATATCCTTGCATGTGCAAAAACTCAGAAAATCCAAAGCATACATTCTGAGAACCTGATGCCTAGCCCCATCGAAATGCATTTCCTCATTCACAAAAATGTAGTTCAATTGCATTGGCGTCATTCAAATGTTATAACGAGGAATTATGAACACAAACACATAGATATTGGAATAGCAGTAAAATGGGAGAGAGCAAGGGATCCATCTGAATAGAAATGCATCTTGAAGTAGATCACATCAAAACACAAAACTCATTCACATTAACCCATTCCTACTATATATAACACAAAGTATTAAAAGAAAAGAAAGATCCACTGCATTCATAAATTCAGAATTTACCTCCTCTGACTCACCCTACTCAGGTGTGTGGTAAGTGCATTCCTGATCCGTAGCCCATTCTCATCCACCTCTCCTTGGTAAACTGTAAGCTCTTGATCCTTCGAGTACCATGCCTCTTCATCAGGAAATGGCTCACTGCACTTGATCAGAAAATTATGAAGTAGACAACACGTTATGATAACAAATGGAAAGGACTCGATACATTCTTCCTTCCAAGGCTTCGATAGAAGCTGGCATCGAGCCCAAACTCTCCCAAATGCTGTGCCAACCAATTCCATTACATGACTATGCACTGAATTAAAAGCTCGTTCTGATGAACTTAAACTACTCCTTTCGTCGGATTTAACAAAAGAAGTGAGAAGCCGTGGAAAAAGGGGTAACAGAGTCACCCAATATGTACTGTGGAATAGAATTGCCATCACTGAGCTCAAAAGATGGCCCATTCAACAACTCCCTCGATTCCTCCAACCGAAAACAACTTGGATTGCCGTAAAACGGTTTCAAGCTTCATTGTATTAGGCCACCCAGCGGAAACATCCAAGAACATGCCTTCCGAGTCCACCAATGCCTGAACCATCAACAATCCATTTTCACCCAACAACTCACCATCAATCTCAAACAGATCGAATCCTAAAACACCAGAACAATTGGGAAGTGAAATCCAACCGAAACCCACTACAATTCGTTTGATATCGGTCTGAAATTCGAAAAGATGTCCTAGATTCTCATTGATTGCCTTGCAAACCATGTAAAATGCACGACAAGCGCCAGCAGAATCGAGGCCGAACGGCCTGGCGACGGACTTATAAAACGCACCGTGGGATAAGCGGAAAAGGGTAGCGGCGAGAGCGTAATTGGGAGGGATCGGAGAGAGAGAGTTGAGAGAAGGAGTGAGGAGTCAGAGGAGGAGAGTGAAGGAAGGTTTGGACATGCGAAAGGCATCGACCCATCGGGCGTCGTAGTTGGCGGAGGCGGCAGAGAGGAAGCGGTGGAACCAGCAGGAAGGGGGAGTTGAGGAGGAGGAGAAAGAGGAGAGTGGTGATGGAGGAGAGAGGAGAGAGAGGAGTTTGGAGATGGAGACGGAGGTGGAGGAGATATGGGATTCTAGGGTTAGGGTTTGGGAAGGATGGAGGCGGAGGTCGTTTTGGGAGAGGAAAGAATAGGCGGCAGAGGTGGCGGAAGCGACGAGGGTGATGAGGTGGGTCAGGTTTTCACGGTGTAGTCTATGACCAACCTCACTGATCCATCTCACATACATTCTTGCGGGGTTTACAGCCACTATAATCACTCCTCTATAAGTTTTCCACATATGTAGAGTTGTTTTGTTATGAACCCGTGTTCACTTTTTTTTGAATCGCAGTCATCCGACCTAGAGTTTTTACGAAAAAAAGGCCTACCAAGATCTGCATTTCAATCTAGAATGTTACGGTGCATTCTAGTATTCCCGACAGATCTAACAATATGTTCTGCATTTCTTTTAGTTAGCAGAGCATACTGATCCGATTCCTAACGAAACTATGAGCATAGAAGACACGCATGCTGGTTGACTAAGAACATTCATTAACTGGGAATGGTTGCAGGACCACAAGATGGTACCTCTTCAGAGTTCAGGCAGGTCGACTCGGTTCAGTTCGAGGTGCTTGTCGTTAGTCGTGGACTTGACTATGAAGAAGAGAGTTGGCCATCCCTGCACAAACTGGTCTGGAACTGGAGCCGTTCTCCTAACGAGGCCATGACAGGCCGAAACTAGTCAGCATGTATCATTGGGAGGGCAGGTCATGGTGGCTGACCATGGCGCTTGCGCGAGCTGAAGCAACGCCTTGGTACCGCACGGGCCGTGCCGTTGCGCTAAATCTCTAGGTCCGTGACAATACCCTCACTTTAATTTCAAGTGTTGGGATCGGGACCCAGGTTATTCCTTTCCCATTACAGTTTTTGGTCTTGATTTTCTATATGTACAGAACTTGGAGTAGTACAATTCCATACCCTTTCAGAGTTTACATGGCATCTCGCCTATATTACCAGTTCAGAGAAGAAAAAAAAAAAGAGGAGGATCAACCAGTTATATATCTTATAATAATTTGAGTAGAGAATATGATATATGGTGTTTCGTGTGCATACGTTTGTTCTTCTATGTCTGCTTTAATTGTCTGAGAATTGAGATGAATGTATAACTAATATAGAGAAAATTGAAGCAGAAATAGCATAAGCACAGAGAAAAGCATAAAATGGAGTAAGAGAAGTTTTACTTACGTAGATTAAATTCGTCATGTTTCTGCCTCACTGTCTCTTAGAAACCTCGTGGGAGCTGTGTGTGTGTGTGTGAATTTCTAATGGAGGCTGTAGCGAAGAAGGGGGGTCTGAGACTCTGAGGAATGGGTTGGTATTTAAGTTGGTCAATGGATGATGTTGGAAGAGAAACTGTGATTATGATGGCCAAAGCAAAAGCAATTGGTAAAAGGTGGGAGGGAAGCTGTGCAAAATAAAGTTCACAGAATCACTTTCTCTCTCCATTTTGCCATGTATTAAAAAAGACCTATTTGGACATTCCAGTTGCATAAAAGAACGGTTTGAGCCTTGGGATAAAACGGGTAATTGGATTTCTTCTTCGCGAAAGGGGCTAGGATTACCACCATATCTGTGATCAACTACAGCATGCCATTAAATAAAAATCACCAAGGTTATTATTTATATTTTATATTATTATAGAATTGATCTCTTCCGCGCCTTTTCTGCAATAAATTTTCTCCACACCAAATATTGTACGTATACTCAACCTGGATCCCTCTAGTGCACCAGTACTTCCACCGTAAAGGGTTGGGATTAATAAAGGGGCAAGGATTACCACCATATCTGTGATCAACTACAGCGTGCCATCAAATAAAAATCACCATGGTTATTATTTATATTTTATATTATTACAGAATTGATCTCTTCCGCGCCTTTTCTACAAGATATTTTCTCTACACCAAATATTGTACCTATACTCAACCTGGATCCCTCTAGTGCACCAGTACTTCCACCGTGAAGGGTTGGGATTAATCCAATAGTGAAACTCCCCACCTACTACAGAATGTCATGCACAAAAGAGGATCCTCACAACAACCCTACACCATTGACGTTCGTCCCATTAAAGCCCTAGAAAACAAAGAGGAATTGATCACAAGAAATTTATCCAGTAGTGAAACTCACCACCTGCTACTGAATGCCGTGCACAAAAGAGGATCCTCACAACCACTCTAAACCATTGACGTTTAAATTTCGTCCCATTATAGCCCTAGAAAACATAAGAGGTTTAAATTTCGTCCCATTATAGCCCTAGAAAACGTAAGAGGAATTGATACACAAGAAATGTTTCCGCTGAAAACATAAGAGGAATTGATCCACAAAAAATGTTTCTACTAGGAGCTTACGATTATTGGGGACTACGCCTCCGCTGCCATACTCGGCGACTTACCCAGCCTGGGATAAAGAAGCACCCTTCGTGACTCCTTGGAGATGAATTGGGGCAAAGTCTCGGATACCTCGGGTTATCCAAAAAAATGTTGTGACTAAGTACTTCAATTATATTATTTAACCAAAAAAAAAAAATTTAATTTAGATGGAATTTTAGAGAGACGCATCAAAACTTCCTCCAACTACATTTACTAAAATCTAGTTGAATACATTTACCTATATTCCATATGTGACTAATGAATCTTGCAGCCACACTAGTATCATAACAGGCAAAAATACATAAAGCCAAAAAAGGAAAAATAAAGTTTACAATCAAAATTATCACCGTTCAAGTGGACTTTTTCTTCTTCGTCATTCTCTGCAATTTCCTCCATTTGAGGTAAATCTGGTATGACAACCCAGAGAAGACCATGGCAACGCTCCCCCATTGCTTTGTCGACAAGGGATTGCCACTCAGCAGCGAAGAGACCACTATGCTGACAAATTTGCGGGTGGTTGTGATGGTGGTGTTAGTGAGGGAACCGAATCGACTTATGGTTAGAAATATAAAATTCTGGCCAACTGCACCGCACAGACAGTAATACAAAATGTCCCATGCTGCCTCTGGATGCTGTTTGCAGAACTGGACCGCCTCGAATCCACTGGCATGCGGATATCCAAACATGAAGGCAATGTTGTAAATGGTACCCCACAAATTCATTCCCAGCATTATATCCCAAGCACTTGTTTTTGGGTACCTTTGCAAGACAGAAAATCTTATTAAAAACAAAAGTTTATATAACTACAGAAGCACAAGAAATTGATGACGCATCAGTGGGGTACTTGCATACTCAAAAGGTTGTTGAAATGCATTGTGCACAGTGCCTTGTGAAGAAAATATAAACGAAGTGCCGACACTGGACATTACGTGTGACAATCCGGGGGGAATCTCAAACCATTTACTTTCACCAACTAGTAATATATCAATAATACTCAATATATATATATATAAACTGTAAATCTCAATATATATTCTTGAATTCAAGATAGATTATTTATAAACTAGAAATATTAATTTTTCTCTCTCCTTTTTTTTTTTGTTCTTATTCTTTTTATTGGTGGTGGGGGCTAGTAGGTCCACCCATGGTGACAAAAGCGTAGAGATTTAGCAATTGACAGACCACGATTTTCATAAACTTCCTCTGTTTAGCCATCTTCCCCATATTTAGCATTCCCTTGTAGAAACAATTATGCATATTATTCAGGGAGAAAAGACAAATAAATAATCATCAAGGGAAGTATGGAAGGCTACCAGAGACAGTATAAAATATCTTTAAAGTACAATACAAGTTATCTAAGCCAAAGAGTTAGAAAAACAAGTTTCTTTCTTGTTTGGATGGGGTTATATGTAGTTTTTTGAGTTTGCTGATGAAGCACTTCAATTAGTATTAGGGGTGAGACCTAAATCACCTTAGGTGGTACATCAAAAGCAAGACATGCAAGGTCCAAACTTTCTAAACGAGGGTCATAAATGATTTAGGTAAATGATGATCCAAACCATTTAGGGGTATGTGTTAGTAGATTGTTGTTATGGTCCTTTAGGCTTTAGAGAGTGAGGTGTGCATAAGAGTGTTTTTATTATAGTTTTCTACCCATCACGCTGCCATGAAATATGACTGATATTATTGTTTCAAATTCTCTTCTTCCCTTTCTTTTAATCCGTATTCTGTATTCGTCACACAAATTTTTTAGGCTTTTCGACAATTATTCATAGTTCAACGTGTTCAATTTCTAGCTAGTGAGCACCCTGAACATCAGGGTTACAGACTCCAATTCCTGCGCCAGCTTCTTAATCTTGTAGAAGATACTAGCTCATTTTAAGAAAATGCAAAGTAAATGAAAAGAAAATGAAAAAATGAAGTTTTTGGCATAGTGCTTAAGCGTTAACAACAATTAAGCATATTTGTATAACGTGCTGCCAAAACTATACTTCAACATAACAGAAGGAAAAAAGGTTATTCCACATCAAGAGTTTCAAGATAAGGTGTAATGATAAAGAATAGTGAAAGTCAATCAAAGAGGAAGAAATAAATAAACAATAAAACGAGAAAGGGATTTCCCAGTGGCTGCTTTTTTACTTTTATGCTATTCAAGTAATCAAGAAAGAGACAAAAATCATAAAACAATTCAAACTTCGAAGCCATTAAGTATCCTTAGCAATATAGTATAAACTTTTTTAACTGGAATACCTTACTGTAATTGAATCCTGAGTAGCATTTGTGAATCCATCAAATGCAAGATTCAGGAAACACAATCCATATCCTAGTGGAGCATTCGGGTGTGCCAGCTTGCTTATGGTCTTTGAGCTAGTCTGCAACCAACATAAGTATAGATGAGATACATAAGAGTAAGACCTTAAACATAAAGTATCCATTTGGTCGTCCAAACTGAATTATGCACAGAACTTTGTATTGCAACTCAGCACATCCACACACACACACACGCACAAAGAGTATTATAATTCCAACATTATGAATTGCACATTCCTCACCTTCGAGAGTGCAAATGTAGATACACCCCCAGCAACAAGGAAAGTACAAAGATACTCAGGAAGAGTGTATCTTATACCATAAACTAGGGCACCCATCAGCATCACTGCATAAACAACAAATTTCAAATAAGTTAATTGTTAAAACCATTAATGCACTGAAATGTTCAGATAAAAAAAAAAAAAAAAATCTACGCGCATAATAAGTTAATCATCCACGCATCAACAAAAGGTTCAATCTCCAAACAACAAGAACTATATGAATTAAACTTAAAAAAATTTCCCTTCATCTATCACAAAATGAAGAAAATCATAGTTTTTACAATCTGAAAAACCAGAACTGTTCCTGGACATTGTCTCTAACATAGGCTATATATGCCTTGTGGAACTTAAAAAATATCCTCTCTTCCATTTCTTGTCCACGATAATCCATTGAGAAGCCACCACTCACTTTCAATGGTCATTTAAAAGATCAATCAGAATCTTTTACAATATTCTTCTAGAATCCTCTTTTAGGTGTGTTGGATTTTTTCTTTTTCTTTTTTGTGGGTTGGGTGGGGTTGGAATTGAGGTACTAGTAAAAGCATCGATTTACAACCAAAATGTCTGTTATGATCCATACAACCTAAATCATATATGTTTAAAATAAACACATAATTTGCTTCTTTTAACCAAGTCAATAACTCACCTGGAATCATTTTTGAGGATTTTGCCAGGACCTGCAAGTGACAATAATGGCAAGAGTATTAATGCCATGAATTAATTTGTGAATTCTTTTAATAATTGCAATCTAAGGTTCACCGAGAAAAAGAAAAAAAAAAATCCGGATCATTAAATACATATTCACAATTTTAAAGGAACGTGGCTTCCAATGAGTCCTGAACCATTAAAGGTTGCAAAGAAAACACAACTGATGGCTAAGGGCTAAACTGATGTACAACCGAAGTGAATGCTAGATAGCACACCATAGATCTTGTAACAGAACATCTATGTAGCTATTATTAGAAATGACAGTAGCTAGCAACCGAAGTGAGAGTGTAGAGAGAAAACAAATTAAGGCAAAAAGCCCTCTATACATATATATATATATATATATATATATATATATATATATTGATAAGTAAAAAGCTCTCTATATATATCTGTAAACACCTTCAAGTGGACTTTTATGCAATTTATTTGACGATGGTTTGGTAAAAAAAAATGACAAAAGCCAGCAAACTAACTCAGACTAGAGAGAACAAAAAGTAAAAACTCTCTCCCCTGAAGATATAATGATTACGTTCCATTAGAATGACATTTTATGAAAGGTCAAAGTAAACTCTCTCTCTATAGCTAGCGGTCGCCTTCCATTAGAAATGACATTTCATGAACTGTCACTCATAGAGATGACCAAAAAAAAAAATTGAGAAAACGATAGCAGCCAACAATCGAACTGAGAGTCTAGAGAGAAGAAGAGGTAAAAGCTCAGCATAGATCTATATAAGACCGCTCTCTCTCTAATATATATAGAGAGCATAGATATATATATATATATGGATGCATAGAGAGAGCTCTATTTCTATACATAATTCTTTGAGTTAGGTTGCTGGTTTGTGTCATTTCCTTTTTTATCAAACCATTATGACATAAATTGATTGAAGTTCAATTTTTTTTTCCTCATAAAAGGAAGACCCATTTGAAGGTGTTTTCAAATATAGAGAGAGAACATTTTTTCCTTAAATTTGTTCTCTCTCTATACTCTCCCTTCGGTTGCTAGCTGTTGTCATTTCGGTTGCTAGCTGTTGTCATTTTTAATAGAAGCTACATAAAGGAGGGTGATAAAGCATCAATCACAGAGAAATTCGAACATACTTGGGCAGGGTAACTGATGTATTTTAATGCTTCAATCCCCATAGCTGGACCAATTGTATTAGTAATGCCAGCACTCCAGTAACTCCACCATGGAGCACCACCACTACTCTTGCTGGACCAAAGCTTTATCACTGTTTGAAAGCAAACACACTAAAATTGATAACTTGACCCCATCATCTAATTTCTACTAGAAGTAGTATCCAAGTAAACGAAACAAAGATAAAGGCTCGCAGAAAAGGAAGAAAACTTACTTATAAATGACCAGATTAAACACACTACATTCTGTGCCAGGTTTAGAAATGCCAAGTGTTCAAACCGCTTCTTGTCTGGGCCAAATCGCTTGGTAGAACTGAACAATTAAAATATATATGATCAATTGAGAGAGAACACAACACCATCAATCATTTGGCAAACTTGGTAATAATCAATCAATGTTGCAAATATACGCAGTAGCTACAAATTTAAACAGAAAAAAACAAGAAAAAAAAAAATCTTTCTATTGTTATTTGTAACCAATGCTCTATGAATTTCACTTAGATGTGTTGTAAACAAAATGTCATTCAATAGGTATTAAATTTTTTTTTTTTTTCCTAAATTAAGCCAACGATGTCAATATTAAAGAGAAATTATTTACTTCAAAAGTAACATTCAATCGAATACAATACGGCGATTGATTTTCAGTACTACGACCCAAAACGTTCAAATCATGCCCTAATTCTTTACGGATCCAAATCAGAATAAGTCCTAAGCAACATATGATACGTTACATATATACATATATATATATATATATATATATATTGGAGACGTTATCAAATGAATTGAAATTATTGAACTAATGGAAAAGAAAAATTACACAGTCTCTTGAAGAACTCCTTGGTATATATAAGCTGACCAAATGCCGGCGACGCAGAAGGCGAGCACCAGAACACGGCGGAGTCCGGAACCGTGAGACTCCATCAGAGGGCTGGAGATCACCGGAAGCACCAGATCCGGCGAGCTGCGTGGGTTTTCCGGCGGATATTTAAGACGGAGATGAGAGAATGTGAGATCTGAAAAGAGTATTTGTGAAGAACGAAACGACGGGACAATTCTCAACTGTCAAATGGAAGGAGACGACGAGTGCTGTTATAAGAGCGCTCAAAGCTACGTTGAATTTCCACGCGTCGGATTTTTATTGGTTAGATGATTTGTTTCTTGAGATCTGATTGGCTCAGCAAACGCGGACTCTTGCCGTATATATTCAACAAGAAGAAATAAATTTGCCAAGAGTGTATGCCACGTGTTGTTTGTGAATGGAAGGTTTTTAGTGAGGAATTATTAGAATATATCTATATATATATATAAACAATTTTAATTGAGATTTAATCTGAAAATAATAAACCCAATAAACCAAGTGTCCAAACAATTAACCGTTTTTTTTTTTCATTTATCGGGATATTGGATACATATATTCTCCACCAACTGATATATATATCAGTTGGTGGAGAATATGATAAGACAATATTATAAAATATGAAATGTATGGTAAAATATGATATGACAATATTGCTCCTGCCAAAACTAACACTGTCTCTTCGTCCCCACCCCACCCAAAACCTCCGTCACCTATACATACATACATACATGTATCTATATATATATATATATATATATATATATATATGGGTTAATTATAATGACACCGCTTGAGATTTGCTATAATAATAGTTATATATAAGTTGAACCATTTTTGAACGATGACACCGTTAGGTTTTATAAAGTAAACAAAGACACTCCAATGGTCCTTACATATGGGTGAATTGACATTATTGTCCTTTGATACATTCAATTATCAATTTATTCAATAATTTTTTTTTATTAACCAAAATACCATAAGTAAAGTAACCGTACCACACCCACCATGACCGGTTCACAGCCCTACCGCCCCTTCTGTAGAAAAGCTCAAATCTCACTGAAAGTAGAAAAGCTCAAATCTCACTGAAAGCTTGCTTCTTTCAATTGGGTTCACTCTATACCATTCATCTTATCTCATCTCATCTCCTCCTCTGTTAACAAACCCATAATCCAAACAACCCCCAAACCCCAATCCAATTTCAGAATTTTTGCCACCTATGCCACCGGCGAAGGCAAAAAGATTGCGGTTGAGACACCCACAACCTTTGCTTTCAAAATTTTGATGGAAACATTCACAGTTGATGAGATCCATCCGGATCAGAGAAGATTGGTTCGTTTTGAACTTCTACAAGTCTTTCTCTTGGGCTCCGACGACGACCAAAGTGATGAGATTGGACTTCGGCGATGGTGGCTAGCAGCGGCGATGTGATTCCGGTGTTAGCTGGGGTTATGTGTGTATGTGTGTTGTAAATGTCACGGGGAGAGAAGAAGGTGAAGGCAGCGGCGTCAGGGATCTGACCAAAGGTCGAAGTTGTTGACGGCTGTGGTAGAGGAAAAGTGGCAGCGGCTGTGGTTGAGAAGTGGTGGCGGTACAAGGAGGGACATGTTGGCGGCGATTGTGGTTGAGGGGAGGTTGGGGAGATGGCGGCGGCAGATGTGGTTGGGGAGAGGCGGTGACGGCAGATCAAGATGGCGGCAACGGATGTGGATGGGGCGGTGGCAGAGGTGGAGGAAGGAGGCGGTGAGATTGTGGAAGTGGAGAGGCGGTGGACGTTGCAGTGGAGAGAGAGGGTGGAAGTTGCGACGGTGCTGGACCGTAGGTGGGTGGAGACGGTGTTGTACCGTAGCTGGGTTGAGACGGTGGGTGTATATATATATGAGGGTGCTGATGTAATACTGTGTATGTATAGGGCAAATTTGACTTTTCACGAATTCTGATATTTTACCATTCAAATGAATTAAACACTGATGGGCAAAGTAGTATTTTCAAACATTTTAAGAGCTTGTTTGGATCAAAATTTTCACAAGGGGTGTCATTGTCCAAAATGTAGCTAAGTTATATATGACTGTCAATATGCCAAATCTCCGGAGGTGTCGTTGTAATTAACCCTATACATATTATGGTAAAATATGAAATGATAATGTTACTCCTACCAAAACTAACACTATCTCTTTATCCCCACCCCACCCAAAACCTCCGTCACCTATATATATATATAATGGTAAAATATGAAATGACAATATTACTCCTCCCAAAACTAACACTATCTCTTCATCCCCACCCAACCCAAAACCTCCGTCACCTATATATATATATATATTAGGCTCCATTTGGTTGTTCAAAAAATGCATAAATAAACGAAATTCAGAGCATATAAACTAAAAAAAGAAACCACAGAGAAAATGTAAGTCGAAGTCTACAAGCAAATTTCTAGAAAACATACAAGTCATGTTTGTACTCTCAATTTTCTAAACCAGAGAGCACAACCCTTTGGATTGTTGAGAAAAATTCGTACATGTTCTCCATCATATCAAAATCTAGAAGCACTTCAGATCCTGAAGATGGTTCATGTAGCATGTTGGTCATGAACTTTTTGGTTTGGATTGTCACTGCTTTGTCCACCAAGTTTTCGTGTGATTTAGTAGCAGAGTACACAGCACCATCAGTTCTTGAATTCAACTTTCTCAACTTGTTTATAATTTCTAATATAACTATAGAAGGATATAAGAATTAATTAGTTAAATTAAATTGTACTCCCTCTCTGTCCCAAAAAAAGATGTCTCAGTCACCGTTACCAAAACAAAATATCCTTTTTGGAACAGCGAGAGGGAGTATTCTTCCTTTTCTCTCCTTTCCCTTTTCCAAAAAAGAAGGTTGTATTCTTTCTTTTCTCTCCTTATCCTTTTCCAAAAAAAAATATTATCATTTCTTTTATTTTCGGCCTAATTTATCCAAGCTACTTGAGCGCCTTTTACCTTGACAAGAAACTGACACCCAATTTACTAATACGAGGACTTGAACCAAATCCTTTCCTCCTTCCACTTTGAGAAGTGAAACTATCACTAAACCAAAACTCTTGGATGGATTTTAGAGTAACTATAATTAAATATATGTTTTTTTAAAAAATTAAATAAAAATAAAATAAAATAAAATAAAAAAACAAACAAACAAACCCTGGCGACCAAAGCAAGTTTCATAAAGAACTAAATACACCCTAAAAAAACAATTTCGTACTGCACAATTGGATAAATCCGTGACCTAATTTTTACGGTATATAGGCTGCTTACTATTTTCTTAGTTGTGGGATAAATAAATTTGAAGAAATTAGGTCATTAAAATTATAATGTGTCACTTTAACGGTGAGTTCCGACCAGAGCATTGTCGGATGGGGCAAACTGTAATAAAAATGTATAGTTTAGGGGGTTAGTTGCAACTTTAGTAGTTTAGGGGGGATTAGTTGCTAATTCCTCAATAGTTCAAGGGTTTTTTTAGCATTTAAACCAAAAAGAAATGATAACCTTCTTCTTTGGAAAAGGGTGAGAGAAAAGAAATAATACAATTTTAACTAATTTACTCTTATACCCTTTTATGGTTATATTAGAAATTATAAACAAGTTGAGAGAGTTGAATTCAATAAGCTGGTGACAAAATGACACGAGGCAAGAAGAAAACAGGACACTCACCTAAGACTAAGAACAACAACTAATAAGAAAAAAAAACCTGGCAACCAAAGCAAGTTTCATATAAATATTGCCATGAAGAAGAAGAACTAAATACACCCTAAAAATCAACTACTATGGCTGCACAATTGGATAAATCCGTATCCCAAATATACCAAGGTCAAGTGTTGGCCAAGTGACCTAATTCTTATGGTATATAGGCTGCTTACTATTTTCTTCGTTGTGGGATAAATAAATTTGAAGAATCATATGTTGATGTAGGTTTGGGCTTGGACTTCAATCACATCATCAATGTCCATCATGAACGATATGATGAAGTGAGCATCCCCATTAAGACTAAAACTGAGACTTTTCTTCGGGTTATGTTTGCTACAGTGAAAAGGGCCAAAAAAAAAAAAACAACGTGATAGCATTGGGTAAAAAAAAAAAAAAAAAAAAGGAGATTATACGGGTAAAGAAACGAAAAGAAACATTTTTAATGAATGTATCATACCAATTTTCTTTCACAGCAGCAGTGAAAAGAAAGGGAAGGAGATTATAGTGTTGACTACTTATAATTGAAATGATAGTAATAGAGGGGAAAGAAATAAAATGGAATTATCTTAATGAATTTATATTCATGTCATTTTTTATTTATAAAAATAAGGGTAAATTTGTTATTAACAAAATTTTATTAAAAATATTAATTTTTCCTTTCCTTTTTTTCCTCCCACTTCTGAACGCATAACAAAAGTTAAATTCATACGTTGTTACATGCCTCCAAATCCTTTCTTTATCCTTCCAAAGTCGATTTCATATCAAACACAATTTCTCATTTCTCTCCATTACCATTCTTTTCTTCTCCTTCCATTTTTATTGTACCAAACTGGTCACAAGTTATAAAATGGGACTCAACGGTCATACGGTGTACTTTAAAATTTTGATAGCAATTATTAAGAAAATATTACTTAACTTGCAATCATTGCTTTCTTTTCTTTCCAAATTCATCAATCCATACGTAGCCTTTGTGAAAAAAGATCAAAAGAATTCTTTTTTCTTTTGAAAATTAAGATGAAAGAACTGTTAGTATGTCTTTTGTTTGGATAATTACGGTCGTAAAATATATATATTTTTATTAAACGGACAAGAAACACACTCATACTCACTCACACACTCACACTTTTTGCCTAAAATTTCTCCCCTCCTTTTGAAAATGAGGAGATTATATTATTTGGCTAGATGTCCTTTGATATGTAAGAAAGAACTGTAAAACCAAAATAATTATTTTTATAATATATGTATGTGTGTGTGTGTGTGTGAATCCGGTAACTAATGCTTTTTTCATTGCCTTACAATTAATGGGTAATCTGGAGCCCCATTTTTTTTAGGAGTATTTTGGTAATTTTCTTACTTATTATGTTACTCTTGTGTAAGGATATTTATTCATTTTAAAACAAGGACGGATTTAAGAATTGTCTAATATTAGTAATAATATATATATATATATATATATATATATATATATATATATATATTTGGCTGGGCTAAAATTGGGTAGAGTAAA